TTATATTAGAGACAGTAGCATCCAACTTATCGTCAGTAAATAGTTCCCAGTTGGTGTCATACAACATGCTTCTTAGTGCTAGAATGTTGTCATGGGAATATGAACGTTCATGTATCTTCTTTGTTAAATGACTAAACAATTTTTGGTGTAGCTTGCCGTACACTTTCGGTGAAATACGAATAATGCAGTGGTCAGAGTTTAGCAAAGGAGCTCTCCTTCGGGTTTCATATACATCACGATCGTTCATGAAAACCAGGTCTAGTGATTTGTCCAGACGTGTATTAAACTTGACTAGATTCTCATGACCAAGTGAAGTAAGAAAGCTGTGATCACATGAATTAAAATCACCACAGACTATAGACAACGAGTTTCCGAATGCAGGAGCAGCGAATTCAGTAAATTCATCTGCAAACGTAACTATATTTGAAAGGCTACAATTGGGTGTTATGTAAATATTTGTTATGTATATATAAGAATATTTACTTAAGTGTTTTGGGCGACACCTGGCGGTTATGCCGTCTATATTGTCATTAGAATAATTGAAGCAAACGTGATTTGATGTAGACCAACTTGTGTTTATAAAAGTGGCTACTCCTCCTCCACATTTTTTCTTAGAACTTTTTCTATCTTGGCGAAAAACTTTATATCCATTTATTGAAACTAGATTATCATCATAATGCTGGTGCAGTCAAGTCTCTTGTATTGTTAAAACGCCAGCGTTTCGATAAACATTAGAATACATTAGGGATTGAAGATAATCCATTTTGTTGGACAATGATCTACAATTAGTGCTAACGAGTTCAGGAACAGTCATTTGATTAATTTGTGTACGTTTCAGTGCACGCTGCCATCCACAGTGATGCTTTTTTCTCAATTTTTGTGGATGACACAACGCAGTAGGTTGTAATGATTTTAAAAATGCGCGATTATAAATAATACGATTAGAACACATTATTGATAAATTAAAACAAAATTAAAAGAGCAAACCAAAGCAATTTTGCAAAATGTTGTAAGGTGGAATTTTTGGTAGCCCTATGTTCAAGCAGGCCGCCGGAGTGTCTGTTCCCCTGAGATGTGGATTTTTTATGTATTCAGAAAGCAGAAGCCATTCCCTACTAGAGTAGATACATATAGACTTGTACACATGATCAGATATAGCACAAGAAGGGTATACACACACCTTTAATTGAACCAACATAATGTTTTTTGAACTAAGAGAACAAATCCAATGACGGGATAGGTTCTGGCTGGTGAAGCATTCAATCTTCTATTGGTTAATCCTGAACTGTCTTTACATTTGAAATTTAGCCATGTAAAATAGGCTTCCTTAACACCACGAATTGTTTAGCATTGAAATCCTACCTGTATGACCGACTCCTAACACAAACAACAAGTCCTCTTGAAACCTGCACTTCCTGTGTTTAACTTGTGCTGACAGAGAGTTGATTGTTGGCTTGCAGGATTCTGTATGATGTAGGCAATCGCACGCACTTGGCGGAAGATTTTCCACGTCAAAAGTGTATACTCCTGGACATAAGTAACAAAAGCCATCTATGCTACATTACACTACACACTTATCTGTAATTTGGGAGGAACAGCTTTCACTTTCATAGACAAAAGATGACTAAAGAGGTGTCTTAAGTATAAATGGTGAAGACATCTTTAGTGAACGACAGAATAAAACAACTGTGCGAGTGGATGTGAGGTGACAATGTTTCTTATTCTCTTTAATTCTTGTTGTTATAAACGTTCACTTACGTCCCTGGGTAGGCAAATATACTCATGAAAATTTTTTAACTTGTTTGCAGACTAGCGTTGTTCATTTTGGGATGATCGAAGAAAAATACCATAAAGGACTATTTTATTATTCAGACTGAACAGCATTGCGCCACATGATGTGATAAAGATGGCCGTTTTATATGAAGCTTCTGGATGAAGAGAAAAAATCATGAAATAAACTAGGCTGGGATGTGTGTATATTTTGCAGAATAGTGCTTTTTTATTCCTCCATGTTCCCAGTGGAACATAGGGCTTCAAGCTAGAGGCTTGAAGTTTCTGTAGCAATGTTAATTTTTACAGGATGGGTTTGATATCGTCATGCTTAACGTTTCCTCTTTACAAGCTTTATTGCTGGCTTAGCGAGGTAAAGGAGTGCGTCGGCCAGGGATTGAACCCCGGACCATGTGCATGGTTGGTGAGCGTCCTAACCACTGTGCCACTGACTCAAAGAATAAGGCTATTGTTATAAAGGATTTGTGTGAGTTTTATAATGTGTTCTGTGAGCCCGAAACTGTTTTATAATGCATTATAGCGGTAATATCTCAGATGTTCAGTCGGTAGGGGAAGAAAAGAAGTCTAAGGCCAAAGGCTGTGGGCATTGCCCAAATGCACAAGTATTTTTGTGGCATCATAAACGGATACACGGTTACAACCTCACTATATGAATATCTGACATGTAAAGTATAAAAAAGCAACCTACCGATTTTGACTATACCAGATTAAAACACAAGGAATTCTAGTTTTGGATAGACACTAATCTCGCCAATGCCATAATATAAATCACATGTTTTCGCTCAAAGCTAGTCGCTTTTGCACTACTGTCTTGGTTGATTGGACCTACAGCAGGCAGTGGCGAACTTGCAGTGTAGAAGTATACCAGGAGTGAGTAACGACTGGCGACACCAAGTAACTTCAAGTAACTCCTCCTCTCTGCCCGTCACTATCCTTCAGGAACTGAAGTGAAGATTAGTAATTTGAACGTTCTAAGAGAGTTGCTGTCTCATGGAGTCTTGTTTGATTTTATATGGCCTATGTGAATGAACACCGTAATCGTTTCTACTCCCTTAGACAGCTGTTCCAAGGCTGTTCACTTGAATGTGATCCAGTCACAAATAGTTATCTTTTCACATTGCAAAACATTTGCCGAAAGTGAACTCTTGGGACGTTGCGGAAGGTTAACTGAGTTTTATTTAAAGAATGATGGTAGCAGTTTGTTTACAAAGGTTTCCCCATATGAAATTACGGGTAGGCTACATAGAGAAAACTGCCTAACGGAACAGAATTCACTTAAATTAAGGAAATATAGTTAACGCTTTTACTACTAGAACAACACTTCTTAATTTTTTCAAGTAAACATCATCGATAATTTTGTACATAGCCATCTAGTAATAACTGTCTAGATACATAAAAAGCTGAAACAAGGTATTGTATAGATCCTCGACACTTTTCAGGAGACTATAGATAACGCGTCCGGTTCAATTTTATATATGATGGACCCGCACAGCATTGTGGAAATAGCCTTTCCAAGGTGTGTGAATAAAGCACTTTGAGTAATGGAAACAGTAAGGTCAAGTTGTAATAGGATTCTTGATTAATTCCAAAATGAATTTCCAACAGACGTCACAGAAAAAGTCAGGGAATTCCTGAATTACTTTTGCCAAAAATTAAAGTTGTATTCATTTTAACCGCAAGATCAGAGTATAATCTTCCAATAAACACTATGTTTTCTCCCCAGAGGAAATTGCAGTTACTGATCGTAGTACTAAGTCGTTAGTTCCGATTAAACGAAATTGTGGGGAGTGTAGAAGCCGTACACTTCAGGGCAGTTTTGCCACCACTGAAAAATAATTCATGAGTTTAAAAACAAACCCATCTCTAGAAAATAAGCAGCAAGCTTTGATGTTATAAGTTGCCATATGTTTACCTTCATTATTGTTGGCTGTTCCTGAGAAAACTATCTGTGTCTTGTAAAAGACAATGCCGGAGGAGGACAAACGTTAACCGGTAATAATTCGGCATTATATCAAGAAAAACAATGAACAAATACGCGTTTCCGAAACTAGTACGAACCACATATTTCCCCGGCGGCTTTCCAGATGTAAACGTAAATTAACTTCCATCTACCTGTCACGTATACCTACGTCCAAGGACTTCTGAAATCAATAGTAGATACAAATAATACGATAGTTATCTCAAGAAATTTGGGATTCCTCGTAATACTCCCTGCACAAACATCATCTATGGGTTTTGATCGAATTATGGGTTTGTTATGACTTTAAACTATAAAAATGCAGACCTATGTGGCTTACTGTGGGGACTTAACCACATTTTTTCACAAATTATGCCTGTCGTCTGAACGGACTGCATAAAGACGATATCATTAGGACAAAAGTCGGTAACAATACTCTCTTGGAGAATATTCTTACGCTGAAGAAATAGGTACAAATCATAATTAAGTGCGTAATAGTGGATAAAATAACTAATTTTCTATAAGTGAAATGATATTTCTATTTCGTCATAATTGGTAGCACTTTTATTTCTCGTTATACAAAATAATATTTGCAAATGTACACAGTGGCCTGGACTTCACTACTTATCTTTTTCTTTAATGAACTTGAATTTCACTGGCCCATTTGATATTTCTTAATCATTTTTGTTTGGACTATCAGTTAAAGTGAGGGGAACGAGAGAGTTAAATTTCGTTTTGCGTTGGTTCGCATAAGCAAAACTGACATCCAGTGATCCTGGTATTTTTATTTTGCACAGAATTGCACTAAGACGATAAAATCTTTATAACAGAAGAAATTTGCCGAATTGTGGTGTCTATAAATAGGTACATTCATTCTTTTGACTTCCGGATGAAACATGGGGCCTCAAGCTCGAACTTCGGAGTTTCGGTAGGGGTGATTTTCTTACGGGATGGGGTTGCCAGCTTCACAGTCCGCCTTCTTTTTTTAGTGAGCTTGCCAGCGGCCATCTGAGGTTCAAAGATGGAAGCAATCAAACATCTTAACCTAACATTAAGAAAAGATGAATCCTTTTAGAATCAGTTACTTCAAAATTTCCAGGGTTACTGTGTGAATGTTTCTGGGTATGCTTAATTTGCCATGTGGTTGAGCAAATTGATCTAACAAAAAGAAGAATGTGTAGTCACAGATTCCTGGCAGAAAATTCTGACATCAACTACAGTTCTGTGTTCCCGATCAACGACTATATTGTATATTGGAACTATTCAAGCGGGTCGTTTATTATGTGTGTTACTTTCAGTACATATGTGATCCGATGTAGACGTTGTACGAGTTGTAGTTGGTGCGATGAGCGCTTTAAAGCATCTTATATTTCTCTACTTTGTTCTGAATACGAACTTGCTTGCTGTTATTGTTGTCGTATGTTACATTATTTCGTTTTTATTTGATTCAGAAAGACCTAACAGCAGATAATTTCGTCCGAAAATTTGAAGATGCGGAAGCTCTTTTTGGTGCACCAGTAGTTGAAGAATCCCTGCTGCTTGTATGTTAAATTTTAAATTGTTATAAGTACAGGGTCGGATACACGCTTCTAATCCACTGGACGGTTGTGTAAATGAAATTCCTTTGCCGCCGAATGCTTCTATGTCTTCTCTCCCTTATATATCACTTATCAAGCGTGGAAATTGTTCCTTTATTGAAAAGGTATCAGCAGCAGAGCGGGGCGGCTACATTGCAGCTATTGTTTACAATGACGTAGATGATGGGTTTTTTCCCATGGGTTTCAATTCATGTAACGTGTAGTATCATACATTCATTTACTCGTTAGCAGCCACAGAGGTGAATATTTCTTCAGTAATGATTGGAATGTCCGATGGTGAAATAATACGAAAAAATTACTGTGCTTCGGAGTAAGTTTGTTCTAGGTCTTGCAGTCTTGAGAAACACTGTATTTTACTAGTTTGTGTTACAGTTTTCATTTAAATTACCTATTTATTTGCGTACTTTCCTGTTCCAGGTTTGATCGTGGGCTGAAAATCAGGGACTACTGGGCAGCTATGTCGGCCTAGTTCGGGACTCCTCGTTAGTTCGTACCCACAGACGCAATTGGGATCAAACCCGAGAGCTTCAGGTTACGAGGCCGCCTTGACTCCAGTGATTAAATCCCTGCAGTTGCACACTTTAAAGTCAGTCTGGGGCTCACTAGTGACGGACTGCAGAATAAAGTTGCTTGAAGTTCTTGTGAGGGATTGTGACCAGTGGGGTCAACTAAGTTAGGTTTAAAGACTATTAATTGCCGGTAACACTGGTAGACTCATGACGTGGTTCCGTAGAATGAAGTACATCTGCGTGTGGTTTAGTATTGTTTTATGCATCACTGGGTATGGCTGGTGAGATTATACAACTCATCATCTTGGAACACTACTGGATATGACTCGTGGTCGAAGTCAGTAGTAAGCATGCTGCAGTTTTATCCTTTTTCTTCCTTTTTGAAGTCAAATGACCCAATGAGCGTTCCTTTGAATGTTCTTGACAAGTATACTTACCCATTTTAGGCTGTTTCTAAGTTGTTTTATTTTCTACTTCTATTGTTGCTTTGTTATTTTTATGTGGGACGTCTCGATTTCCCTATTGTACCAAGTTTGTTTTAAAGAATAACATAAAATAGATGAGGCATAAAATAAAACAAGCAGCGTCCTGTGATAAAACGGTCTATTTAATTCTTTGGAATTACATGCTAAGCAGAGACTGCTAGCATTTATTAGCTGATATTATCATCTTTCCTTTTCGTAATAGTCTGTCTAGCAGGTGAGCATACAGAGAAGCGTCCACTACGATTCAATCGAGCGATGAAATTTCCGCTTCAGAATTTAGTATTACTCCTTACCAGCAAGTTCACCTCAGTTGGTCTTCGAATCTCCTGAAACTTTTAAGGTGAAGTGAATATGCACACTAATATGTGAGCATGTCTGAAATATTCAAAATATATACAACCGCAGATGAGATTTTTCTCCTTTTTGTCATAAAGATTGAGTGTTTAACATTGCCATGTGAAGTTAGCACGTTCGTTTAAGAAATAAAAAGATGTTTCTCTGGTTGAAGTTGCCAGGTGTTGTCATGTGGTTAAGAGAAGTTGGAGTATGAGTGTACGGTCTTAAAAGTGGGAAAAGGAAGTAAAAATTGAGGAAAAGGCACAGATGAGGAAAGCAAACGACGAAAATGTTAGTTGTGTTAGTGAAGGTTACTGAATATTCTCATTATATGTACCAAAGTAAGCCAACAGTAAACACAAATAGAATACTTCGCTTCGAAGAATGAACAAACATATTTGCAAGATAATACGAGCTCGTTTTGTTTCGCGGACTCTTATCAACACTATACAGCCTAAACAATATTAAAATGTGCGTTACAAGAGGTGTGAACGTATTCTTATCATATTGACATCACTTTATTGGTAGAAACTGTAAACATGATGTAAGTAAACAAATTCACTGTTGAAAAGAGTAACTAGTTATAGTATAATTAGACAAGAAGAGGGCGGAAACAGACTTCAAACTGTATAGAAAGACTGATTGATGAGAGACAGGACGCGCAGCATAGAAAAACAATAAATCTATACATATTAAGATTGAAGCTTCGAGGAGGTAGGAGGGAAAAGTCGAAGTAAAATTACAACAAACAATTGTGTAAGTTTTCACGGGATATGACCTATAGAACCAGTCAACTATCCAAACTCCCCAACTGATTAACCTTCAGTTATTTTGTTAGTTCTTTCTCTCTTACTGCCTGATTGGTTTATTAAAGCAAAAATGTAATTTTCTTTTGGAATTTTTTTATAGTTACTTTGCTGAAATCTTACCTACTCGACACCGAAATATCGCGCTCTATCTTATCCCATTCATAACTTGTGTGCTCATATTTGTAGTTGGATTGGGTACAGCGTATATAGTTCGCTGTTGGAGTCGATATAGAAGACGACATCGGTTTTGCTTACCTGTTAGCGAGTTGAATAAAATACCCGAATCTGTATTTGATAAAAGTGAGTTCAATATTAACTGACGTTAAAAGAAATAAACAGATTATTTATTGTATTTCAATTTACAGTTACTGAACATAATCGCTCACTGAAAACTGTTATACGCTTCACTTGATCAGTTAGACGTTTCAGTTGATAGTGTTAAAGTGTTCCTATGAATAAGTCAGCATCCATTAAATGGGAGGTTTGGGGAGTTGTATCATTCAAGAGATATAATTCATTGACGTAGGTTTCTGTCTTTCGACTAATGATTACAAGTCTCAACATAATTTTCAATTAATTTTCGGTCGGTTGAATACTACACATCTCTCGGGTAACTAGTATGATTCACAAACTGGTTTACGGAATTTCGCATGGTGATCAAGCTATTCTTCTCTGTGAAAAGCCGTAATATCCTCCCAAAATTGAAAAACTGTCCTCAGTTTCATTTGTATGTAGTTATTGTTACATCAAGAGAAATACCAGGTTGTCGTATTCGTTGTCTATTTACAATAAAACAATGAGTTATGAGACTAGTTTAAGCTTACTGTGCGTCACATTATTTAATTCAGTGATGACTGCTTACTTCATCAGTTATTTCGGACTGATTTTGAGTTTTTTCGTCGTATCCAAATGGAGTATAGGGCTTCAAGCTCTTAAATTTCAGTATCGGTGGTGGTGTTTTCGCTAGGTTGGGTTGCTGGCGTCATGCCCAACCTCCCCTCAATTCCAGGTTTGCTACCAGCCAGTAAGCAAGACGAGGCTTCTGAGTGCGTAGACCGGGAATCAAACTCAGACCTTCTATGTGGGAGGTCTGTCTAACCATAAAACAAAGTACTTATGGTGGTAAGTTACATCTCTTCGATTACATAAAAGATTTGTCTGTCAAGTTGTTCGGAAAACATCAACATTTTATATCCATATTTTCCTAATCACTTTTTTGGCACAGTTTCATTATCATACTAGTCAATTGATTCCTTAGTTAAGAATCTACTGTCTGTTTTCAAATTTGATGTTATCCACTGCATCGCATCACGGGTAGGTTGCCCTCCAGCCAGGCATATGGTTAGTGTTCGATTCTCGACCATCGCATTCCTAAACCCACTAAAGGAGGAAAGTTGGACGTAAGGCTGGCGACCTTACTCCCTGAAAACAACACTACAGCTACTAGAATTTTAAAGCTTGAAGCCGTATGTTCTACTCGCAACTCAATGGAATAAGTTTAAAAAAAAGTACTGCGTTGTATATTGTGTCAGTAGTATGCAAGTGTGAAATTCAAGACACTATCGATTCATTAGACATTTTTTTTCGTGAATTGTGAGTAAATGTTTTCGTTAACTAATAGTTTGGCATGTGATCTTATCATCTTTACAATTGAAATCAATGCAATTCTATGCAAATTGGCAAGTCTGTTAGCTGTTATAATAAATATGTAATATTTTTACACACATAGTTTCCATCAATATTTTACTACTGTTTTTACTAGTCCACGTCAGAATGAATCGTTTACTTTCTTAATATATATATATATATATATATATTGAACAATATAGTTTCACTTTATGAATTTAAATTTTATGCACTAACCATAGTCTAATATTAAAGTCATTTGTCTGTTGATTAAGTAGGGTAGTTCGACTTTAAATTATTATTCAACATTATTAGACTTGTTTTCAGAATATATTTCGTATACATGTTGATGCATTATTTACATTCCTGTCTCTATTTTAGCATTTCGATAAAAATAAAGGTAGTTAGGTAGTAAATGATGATATAATGCTGTAGATATACAGCGTAAATTAATATTATTATTATTTATATGGTACCTTGAGGACTAGCTATGCAGCATTCAATTGTTTTTATCTAGTGGTTTTATTAACTAGCCACAATTAACTTCCAAGCCAAAATGACTGTGGTGGCGACTGATATGTTCTTGAGAAAAAAAACAACAAACCCGAATGGGTTGGAATATTTCTTTTACAGCTTAATCTGTAGAGGTGTTCTTCATCATGATCTTGATAACAAACATTCTACACTTCATTTGTCAGTATCCACTCATAATGGCCTGTTTTAGACTGTAAGCTAAGCACACCAATATTTCATATTGCCCCCTTTTGATATATATGCAAGTTATTAAGTCAGCGGTTCAAAGTTTATTCCTCTGACCAGACCAAGGGTTAGTCAGACTGTATCTTTAACCACTGCACACTTCCGAGTGATTGATCACATGAAAAGTAATGGATTTAAGATGTGATTGTTTGAAAATGCAGAGTTGGATAAAACTGATGCCTGTAGTTATAATTACGGTATTTCATGTTTCTAGAAGGTGGAAGAGCTAATATATATAGTGATTTCTTTTCTTGTTGTTGTGAAATTCATTCCTTACTGGTACAGATTTAATAATCCATTGGTAAAATCATTTATTTATAGATTCATGTCAATATGAAACATGTGCGATTTGTTTGGAAGATTATAAAGATGGTGAAAAATTGAGGATATTACCATGCAAACATGGTGAGTTAAGTTTAGTTTTACCGATCTTAGTCAGTTTTAATTGTTAATATTAGTAAAATAGTTAATGTTATCTTTTCTTTTCATAAGACTTGTAGTTAGTGAGGAGTTAATTTCTCAATAATACCCTATTAACGACCTGGGTAGACTTCGACCTTCCTCTCGAAATGCTCTCATGTTGTAGCCATGCGTTGATAATCTCTTCCAGGTAATTCCTGTTTACTGCCTTCATGCGGCTGGGGTGTTCCTCACAAAAGAGTGAATGAAAGCATTTAGAGCTTAGAACTGGACTAGTGGGCGTGGTGATTTACCTAGGAGAGCTGAAATATCCTGATTCCAAACGCATGCTGTACATGGTCTTCAGAGTGCGAACGGCACGATTGTCGTATGAATCGGTTTTGGTGGCCTTCAATCGTGAGAACGTTGCTCCACTGCGTTTTGAATCAGGCTTCAAGTCGAAGGATCAATGGGCATAGGGTTCGAGCCTCGGTGGGAACACCAACACTCACTGGGGAATGCAGGTACATCCAGATAATGAGTCCCAAATAGAACGAAATGCGCATCCTGGATTCCACTGCTAGTCACTATCCACCAATTAAATTCTAATTACATGCCCAGACATCATCGAAGCATCTGCACAAGAAGGCGACATGTCAACTTGAGACCAAGCACTTCGGTCCAATCAATCGACGGGAAAATTTAAAATTCAATTAAATAATCAATGAGTAGCTCTATACAAAAAATATAATAATAATTTGCTTTATTCCAAAACAGTACAAATGTTACAGTGTGACATTTTCAGCATTTGGTACATTATTACATCCAATTTTATCGAATACTAATAATAATAATAATAATAAAGATAGTATTACAGGATTGTTAATGACAGTTCTTATATGGTATTAGTTGTGACAGTAATATCGTAACCACAAAAATTTGTAAAATAACGATGATAATGTTTGTAGTTAAGATTATCAGTTAATTATATCGAATAACATTCGGTCTGGGCGTCTGGGCAGTATCCTAGTCCTTGTGCACAAACTATGGGGTTTTGTTTTGCGCTTCTCTTGGTGCCCATAATTTGCGAAGTGTGTGGTTTACAATAATAACATAAGTAATTAACTTAACTGCTTTGTATTTGCTATCATCCATGTTGTCATTTTCTATAATAAGTTTCTGGTAAATGGTATACATTGTTTTTGTTTTACAGCATACCATAGCAAATGTGTAGATCCATGGCTTGTAAAGCGTCGCAGTTGCTGTCCCATATGTAAGAAGAGAGTTCGTAATCAGCCTAGAATTGATATTTCACGCTTTACACGACTGCGACGAAATTCTGCTACTACTTCAGAAGCTCCACTTTTAAATGACTCATCCTCTTTTGAAGAAGATTCAGATTTAGAAAGCAGTGGTTCAGCTGATCAAGATGATATAACTTTTTCTACAGGCGATTCTCCGGAAACTCGTAGTCCGGCTCCAAACGAACGTACTCCACTTATTAGTACTACAAGTGCTTATCGGCCCAGTGATTCAACACTTCAACGCATGAAGGATGCCGCTTTAGTTTTCGAAGGTTTGGAAGGTACTCTTGGAGGTGGGTCTAGTCATCCTTCCAGTAGCAGTACTTCCTCCAATCAATACGGAGCGACTAAAAATGCGGCTACACCCAAAGAATTGCAATCTGAATGTTCTATAGTAGCTAGTGAACTCATGCAAAGAGGTTAGTAGTTCCTTTTCATAAATATTTTTTAATATATACTTTTTGACTCTTGCGCATCAACTGATCGGTCGAAGTTAGGGAGTGGAGTGGTTAGAAGTGCTGGTAGCTTCACTTCCTTAGGGATTTGCTTCACTGACTGCAGACAAAATCTAAGGACTTATTTACAGGATATTTACTGGCTACCATCATCTTTACTACGAGATTTCCAATTATCTGTCAGAGGGATAGTGTACGGCATAGATACCAGTTGTGTTCTACCATTCAGCTGTAGATTTTCCTCGAGTGAGGTTGGTGAGTGATGTTATGTATTTTGGAACACTGACTTTTTCGATTGATGATGTAACTTAAGTCAAAAAGATGTTGGTGGTGGCCAGGACAAGGTTTTGTGCTTACATGTTTATCTGTCTAACTTCAGTAAAAAGCATACCATTGATTTAGTCGTTTCACATTCACTTATTTCCCTTTGTGAATTTGAATAAAACAACGGCTGGAAAAGATGCTACACAATGTCTCCAACTTTTCACTGATGGTTGCAGTGAATATGTCCTTTATAGTCCTGTCCTTCAGTTTATGGGTTTTGAACTTGAATTGTGTTCTTTGAAGATTTTCAGCTTGACCCTGAAGGTTTCCTCCACTAAATAATGGTCTAACCCCACATTTGGTCCTCATCCTTTTGATTTTGTGCTTCTTCTCCACTTTTTGAGATTAAGCTGAAGTTATATCTGATTTTTGAGGTAACCATCTGGCGCGAAACCGATGTCGCCTTGTGTATTTATTTCCTTGTACTTGTAAAATTTGCCCCCCCCCCCCAATCACCAAATCATTAAAGGTGCATAAGTCTGGAAGTAGTTCTCTCAGAATCATTCCATTATATTATTATTATTGTTCCATTGGGTTCCTAGTGGAACATAGGGCTTCAACTGCACGTCTCCACTTGCTTCTGTCTTCTGCTGTACTTTTCACCTGCATCCATGTTAGTCCATACTGTTTCAACTCCTCTTCACACAATCTCCTCCATGTCACCCTTGGACGTCCCACTCGCCGCTTCCCTTTCGGGTTCCACTCGAGCTATGGCCTGACGCGCGATGTCACCCAGCGGCTTCCTCAGCGAGTGTCCAATCCATCTCCACTTTCTCCTGCATGTTTGTTGGGCGACTGGTTCTTGTTTTGTTTGTTCCCATAGTTTCTTGTTGGTGATTCTTTCCGGCCATCTGATCTTCAGTACAGAGCGAAGACAGTTGTTGATAAAGGTCTGCAACCTGTTGGAAATATTCTTTGTGACTCGCCAAGTTTCTGAATCGTATAGAAGAACTGACTGACTTGACGTTTGTATTCACTCTCTGTGATCCTCTATATCACGTTTGTTTCCCTGTTACTATTTTCTTCCTGTCTTTGGCATATTATAAATCATTTTGTAGCAGTTATTGACTACAGTGATACAGTATCACATACTGATGACGTTTCTAGTACATTTTATTATTCATAATGGTATCATCGAGGCACTCACAAGACTTTCGAAATTTTTTTATGTAATTCCATTATTTCCTTAGCCTTTGACTTAATTCGTAGTTATATTTCTGATATCTGTGTTATTGGCGTTGAGCTATTCCTATTGCGCATATGTTAGGTGTACATTCAACAAACAAAGATCCAGTGGTTAATCTCTCTCTCTCTCTATCTACCTATATCACTTTTTTGAACAGTAGTTCTGACTTACCCTACATTGTGATTGTGTGTTCCTTCGTGCATGCTTTGTGATTGCTGAGTTGTTCTCTCTAAGCTATTCATCTTCTTGGCGTTAATTATTCTAAACTTTGGTAAACTCCTGTATTTCGATATCCTAACTGATCCCCGAACTGCTGGTCTAACTTATGTAGTTGACCTCATAGTTGTTATAACAAGGTATTTTGTAGATTGAATTATTTTGTCTAGTTGTGTCACTAGGGTCTTTTAGCGTACAGAACTTCTCTCTGAGTGAGTTTGCAGGCCTAACTGCCACCTCATATTCCCCTTGATAAAACTTTAAGATGCCTTTCATTTCTTCTTCTTTTATTTCCATTTTTCCTCATCCTAACGATAGATGATCAGAAATGGAGTGAAACAACAGATGGAGCAGAAGAAAATACTAACATTGTGACGCATACTTCATTACTTTCAATAGAAGTAACTCATGTTGAAGTACACACCGATAGTGGTGCATGTCTTCATCAACCACAGGTATAAGGGATTCTCATCGCCCCTTTTATCTGATCTAATTTGATCTGAATTTTTTAAAAATTTTTTGTTTTCTTTCAACTCTCAGCTATTTATCTGTTTTTTTTAAAACATTTTTAAAAGATATTTTTAGATATATATTTATATACTTCAATTTATCGATATATATCAATGTCTGTCTATCTATATATCTATCCAGGAAGCACGCAGACAGCCTTGTTCCCTATTTATATTATTAATAATCTTAAACAATTTACATAACTCATTCGCTCACTAACTCACTAACTCCCTTTTCTCCTCATTCTCCGATAATTTTATGCATTAAGAGAAGAATTTCTATTGATTTTTAATTGCTATTATATTACTATTATTATTAATTAACTGATCAGTTTAATTGCAGTGTCTAAACATCATTTTATACAATACCCTACACATCCATTGTGTCTAGAGAACCATTTCACTCGCTCACTTACTCACTCACTCTCACACACATATATACAGTCTTTAGGTATATCCAATTTCAGTAATCTCTCGTTTTTTCGCTCTGTGTATAAATCGATTTCAGTGTAGAGATTCACGTGTTTATTTTTTATTACTATTATTCTTGTGATTATTATTATTATTATTACTGGTAGTAGAGTTTGTATTATGATGGATAAGCTTGTACTGGCTTATTTTACAGGTTAAAAATTATTGAGTAATTCAGGCTTCATTCAGTATGTTTTACGTAGAAGATGAACTCTCTGTCAACTTTTCTCACATCATTTCGAAGTTTTTATTTTTTTTTTCTTTTGATGGAAATTTAAGATGCTTTTATCTTCTCTTTTTAAAAAAGAAAAAAGTTTAACTATAATGAATTTGGTTTGTGATTTTCACCAGGCCGTCGAAAGTGTAGTTTTCAAGTGGTTGGCTTGTGTGGATTTTGTGGGTTTTAGGGCTGATCGTGAATTTACTTTATTTAGAGAACCATTGAAAGAGAGGGATTAAGTGACAGGTGTTTTGTCCGTGTCTGGTACTCTTCATCATTAGCCACCTATGACACTATTAGGGTTTGAGCTCAGGAACTTTAGGTTATATGGCGAGGTCGTTGGCATTTCAACCAGTTGGACGGAATCCGATGGCCCATGAACTCTCACTTCTGCCAATTACTGATATATAATGCTATCGTTGGTCAATCTCATCTAGAATAATGATAATAATAATCTACTTTATTCCAAAGACAGTACTTGTAATACAGAATTGAATTCTCAGCATTTGTCACAATAGTGCATCTGATTTTTTCAAAATATAGATAAAATTAAAAATTAAAACAAAATTAACCAGAGGAATTTGTCCACATTTACGATATAAAGTCAAAAATATTCGAAGTATGAAATGAGAATAATAAATATAATAGTAATCATAGCAGTGAGTTTGTCTCAAACAGTATTGGCGATTCAGTTGGAAAATTTTAGCATGTTATAGAGCATTGAATCTAATGTTCTGTTGATACAGTTCGGTGAGGGGAAATACAAAATTAACAGTTATAACATAGCTTAAATGATGTTCACACTTATGAAAAAATAAAAACAAAAAAATTGAGAGGATTATGAATATAAGAAGTACAATAACAATAAAGGTTGATGTTGTAAGGTTGGAGGAAATGGTTTATTTACTAGTGCAAAGAACCCCAGCATTTGTTCTAACGCCCTGCTTGATGCGGTGTGGTCCTCTAACTGAAGACAGTTTGTGGTTAGTCTGGAAATATAACTTTAGTGACTACACTAATGAAGTATCGTGTAAACTGCAAGCTAAGCTGTGAAACCAAGAGGAAAAAAAGACAAATTTGGTTAATTGGTAGTTTTTCTAATGATGAGTATTTATGCACTCAAGATAAAGAAGAATCGGAAAACAGCAGAAAATTTTTACAAGATAGATCACGTAAAATATGATTAATTTTCTGCTATAGTGGATTTCAATGTTGTAAGCGATTTCATAAAGAAGTTAGACAGACACACTATATAAGTTAGATTATGTGTTTTCTTGGGGTCTGGATTGGTTTAAACCAGGGAACACTATGCAGCTGTTTCGTCGTAGTTTGAGACAGCTCAACGTTGCTCACCAACGACCCTACAAGAGATGGAACCTGGCAACATCCATCCACTTTGGCCGGAATTTCTGACCTCGCAATTTCGTGGTTTAACATCAATGCGAACCAATGCCCTAGATGAGTTTCTACATCACCTTGAAATGAGGGGTCCCAATGGTCATGACTTTTCTTTACAGTAGTTGCCAATGAGCTGCAGATTGATATTTAGATAACAGGTTTAATAGGGATATAGATTCAGCTTGTCACCGAATGTATATATGTTCACTTAAATATTCATAAAAATGAATCCGTTTCAATGCAGTTTAATGAGCTTTATCATGACTGGATGGAGGAGTTCATCATGAGCTGACATCAGTCAGAGAACCACTGAAAAACCAGTGTCTAGTACTCCCAGGTTTTCCAGTGGTTCTCTAACTGATGTCAACTCATGATGAACTCCATCCAATCAAACAAAATCCTTACAAAATCAATACTTGAAAATTTATCAAGACTGATTATAGTGTAAATCAATTACGTGCCCATTATATATATATATATATATATATACATATATGTATGAGAGTATATACAAATCTACTAGTATGTTCACCGTTTGTGTGGTACGACAGGTAGTTGTGACGATTGTTCACATGTCCTTTAGATAATATTTCTGTGTAGCGTTGCGGAAAACCGAAAAGTATTCATTTGGCTAAGCTAAATTATCATAGCCTAAGTCAAGGTTAGCCGAGAGTTGATCTTCAGGAACCAATCAGATTTATGGAATACTGCGAAAAGTCATTCCAAATCAAATCAGACCTGCTTTTATGGATTCAGTGAGATATCCTAATTATTTCCTAGGTACTTTTTCTGTAAATCTGTAGGGATAGGTTAAAGAACACGGTCAGGAATATCAATAAATTCCAAAATACCTTGGTCTACAGTCACTAGGATGAATACATCTATGGTGTACAGTATGATTTCCCTATGCATTATCCTTGGGATAACTGGGAGACATTCCCACAACGCATAGCAAACATCTAGTGAGATAAATTGTTTGCAATTGTAAAAAAAAATGCATTTTAAACGATTATGGGAATTTTTAGCATCTGAAGATCGATTGGTTGTTCAAGGTCACTATGATTTTGACTATAATATTCGAATTTCGCCGTCATTTTTCTACCGATCATAGTTTTTTCATATTTCCGACTTGATATCCTCATAAACATCTAAAATATGAAGGTGTATAAAAGAATATTCTAAAATAATTTAAACATCTTTATTAATTTAGTTAAAGTTTACTTTAAAAAATTTAAAGTGAGATTTTTCTGAATGCTTTCCTGCATTCTTACCACAGTTTTGGCCATGGCATTACTAAAATCAAAAGTCGTTGAACTAAGTAATGCATAAACTGTCTATTTGACTTGATTTTGGAATAACCAGTTGGATAATACAGCTTCTTAAAGCATGAATACACGAATGCCAACATTCGCCTTCCTTCAGTTACTTCCTTATTAGTAAGTTATGAGAAAGCCGGAATTCAAATACTGGTTTTTCAATTCCAAATAAGTTTTATTTGATAAAGATACAATACAGTAAATGCATCAAAGAGAGAACATCCAGCAGTCGGATTATGCTGAATTCACGATATCGGATCTCTTAACTATCGTTTCTATGACGAATTGATGAGAGATACATCAAAGTCTTGGTCTCTTTAGACAATATATTGTCCACTGATGTGTGGACTTAATTCTGGTATTTAACGCTGAATTATGTATGCTTCAAAGGATTGATTCCATTGAAAAATATCCAGGAAGCTATATGCTTTGTCATGTGGGTGGCTGCATCGTCATTGAATTAAATTCGCAAATTAACACTCGATTTGCAATTTGCACAGTTCTAGAAGTCAAAATTTCATTTTCTTGTTTTAGTTTGATTACCAATGGCTCTTTTCCAATCCGACCATATATCAGCTAACATTGACCGTCGAGGATGGTGATAGCTAGGCTAGGCATGCGCAACATATGTCCTAACCATCTTAATCGATGAATCTTCACCACCTCGTCCATTGACTCCCCCTCCTTACCTAACACTCGATGCCTAACCTCATAATTGCTCACCCTGTTATGCCACGTGACACAAAAGATAGTACACAGGCACCTATGATTAAAGACTGCGAGCCAGCCTTTTCATGTCTTCCACTTTCAATGGCTATGTCTCACAGTCATAAAGGAGGTCAGAGGGAACTGCTGATCAGTACACACGCCTTTTGGTCGACAGCCAGCTGGTTATCACGTCTACTAAGCCAGAGATGGCGAACGGGCCTTCTGTATCCGTATTGAGATTTTGTCAGCGATCAAATCAATGATACTGGCTGAGATGGTCAACACGCCCCACCAACCAGTCCTGTAACATCATCTTACATTTGACAGCAGGAGCGAATCGCATGCCAAACATTCGAAGATTGCTACTCAAGAATATTCTATCGATCAATTAGTAGTGTATGACTTCCACCATCATTATTTTCATTATGGCTCTGTGTATTTTGAGTGATAAAATGGTAAATTCGAGGAAATGAATTAACTTTATGGTCGTAAAAGACATTAATGTATACATAAATATAACATTTATATTTTCGTATATGACTGTTCCACGATTAAAATGGTTGTTTACATTGCCGATTGCTTAAAAACTGCACAGTTTTTGCTAGATATTATCATCCTTGAGTACTTTTTTAAATGCTAAACTCTGTTAATAAGGAGATTTTAATGACAAACTACCTGTCTGGGCTTATCTTTAGTATGAATTTCTGACAAACAGTATTTAAATGGTGAGCTAAATTGACTCTGGAGTCCTACTGAAATCGCCTTTCGATCGTTCCATTTACTCACAGTCAGCCAGATCTATTTGTCTAAATGGGTAGTTTAAAACTACTTACAGCTTTCAATAGTGTGTTCTTCTCGAATGAATTTTATATTTATTCTATCTATGCGTCCATTTTAGTTAAGTTTATCTGGTCTAACAGGTGAATGT